CCGATCCATAAGCTTGGCACCCGTATATCCAAATAGGTTTGAGTCGGTATGATTTTAACGGTAATTGTGATTGTCGATTGAGTAGGTAATAAAGCCTTTAATCCTTTGTGTGTCTGTTAATTTGAGTAAAAAAGGTTCCCTTAAAAACATGGTTTTTAGTCGAGAATATCTCGCTCGGGCAGATGCTTTGGAAAAGGCCTTAGCGTCCGTTACTAGCCCAAGTCCTGAGTGTGACGTACTATCCACGATAGTCTGCAGCGGTTTAGGGCCACTGCAGGTCTCGATCGAAGTAGTGGTGGTCCACCACGATGTACAACGGCAAGAGACGATCGTTTGCTCTTACCGCACTACGGAACCGTCATTTAACGGCTTCATTGATAGATAGTCAACCAAACGGTCCGTACTATTAGAGTGAGCTCTAAAACAGTCATCAGAAGGCTTCGTCAGAATATTCTAGTATATAGGCGCACCGTATCTACTACTGGAGAGCATCGATTAGAAAGGCGAATAATGGCAAATCAGCATCTCGTATGGACACTTGCGGGCTGGTTCTTCACAGATGAGTGCCAGTTTGGCAATCAGATTGACGGGACTATGGAAAAGACGTGGGAAGCTCTTTGCTTCCTCTGCCATACATGAATTACATCCTTTTGAAAGACAGACAGGAACAACATGGGGTGGAATCAACATCCATGCCCGTACCAAAATGATTATCGTACAGAATGGATCTTTGACTGCACCAAGGTACATTGAGGAAGTTCTTCTGGAAGCTGTGGACCCATATTGGGGACAACTTCATCTTAATGCTTGACCGCAGCTCGAGTTCTCACCCGTTAGATAACATAGGAAGCACATTGATATGAATCTTGTAGAAAATATTTGGAACATGATAAAGAGACGGATTAGAAATCGTTTCTCCCACAAGCACTGAACAGCTTTAAACCGCTCTTGTTGAAGAATGGGATTATTTTTCACAAGAACAGTTTGGTCACTTACGTACTCGATGCCGAGGAGATTCAATCGCCACGAGTCCAGAACAGGTAATACATGTTATTGTTGGGGAACGAAGAAGCAGACAGGGCCAAAGAAGCCGCTGGAAAGCCCCACAACGCTTCCCAACCTAACCCCGATCAGACTTCTATGTTTCTATGAGAGTTGTGTTTGTGTTAATTTAGTGTAATGAATGTAATTTATTAGCATGAAAGGAATGGGTTGCTTATAAACCCTGCCCCGAGGAATAACGAGTACTCTGCGGTGAGTGTATGTCGTCTGGAGAGTAAAAGTAATTTATTAACGTGAATGGAATGGGTTGCTTATAAACCCGGCCCCAAGGAATAACGAGTACTCTGCGGTGAGTGTATGTCGTCTGGAGAGTAAAAGTAATTTATTAACGTGAATGGAATGGGTTGCTTATAAACCCCGCCCCGAGGAATAACGAGTACTCTGGAGTGAGTGTATGTAGTCTGGAGAGTAAAAGTAATTTATTAACGTGAATGGAAGGGGTTGCTTATAACCCCGCCCCGAGGAATATCGAGTACTCTGGGGGAGTGAATGTGACCAGACATCTATGTTTGTAGTGATGTATATATACGTATTGTATGTTTTGTTTCTATTTTTCCAGATCGAGTCGCTTAAATGGCTGCCGTTTAAGACAAAATAAGCGCGAAAGAAGAGAAAAAGAAGGAAAAACACGCAGAGGGCCGGCGATGACCTCAGCTGTTTGTCAGCCCATAAACTTCCCACTTTATATATAAAATACATGCATAACAAGACATTTTTTAAATTTTTTATTCTCGTTTTGAGTCCAGAGATTCGGAATTAAAAATTCAAAACTCTTTTAGATTTAACCCAAATTCCACATTATTACAAGAATTATAAATCTGAAAGTCTCTATTTTTAGACTATGTCAATAAGCATGACATCAGCAAAAAACTCGCCGACCGTTTGGTTCGTTGACTTTTAATTTGCATAAAGAGACAATTAAACTATAAATTTTTTTTCTTGATTTTTCAGAAAAATTGTATACACAATTTTTAACTGAACGACGTAGCGTTCATTTTGTGATCCTACATAAAAAAATCAACTGACATGTAATAACCTTAAATTTTTTAAAATTTATATATATATATATTAATTTGATTAAAAACTACATTTAAATTTATTTTATCGATTTCTAGGATCCATTTGCAAGAAGAGTAATATGTCTGAGATTTCTAATATTGGGTTGTATTGTTAAATAACTCAGTAGCGTTTTTCCAGTGGTATATTTTATTTCTCTTTGTTATGAAATTTGCAAATAAATATTTAATAAAGTAATCAATGTCTTTCAGTCGGCATTTTCGCCTTTTTTACATGGTTAACAATGGAAGAAAGTAGGACATTATCGACATTTAATGGGTTTTTCTATTTCCACGGAGTAAAAACAGATTCCTAAGAAATTCTGTGATGTGTATGTTGATGACTCTTTAGAAGAAAGCACCGTCCGTAAGTATTTGCTCGGTTCAGAAGCTGCAATTTGGATTTGGAAAACGAAAAGCGCTCTGGTCGTTCATCAACGAATGATGAACAAATTCAAGCTTTTGTCACAAATAAGAAAAAAAATAAGATACATTTAATATATCTCCTACAAACTTTTCAACACATCTGAGAGCTGCTTGATATGTTTTTCAGGGCGATAAATGGGGTATGAGAAGAATATGTGGTATGCCCTCCTAATGTAAACGACTCATTTTTCAAAGAATGATAACTGAGTATAAAAAGCGGGTCTTTTACAATAATGTTTGGAGAGGAAAATTTAAAAAAAAACAGTGACCTACCGTAAACTACCTCAAAAGCAAATAGGTAATATGCATTTTTTGGGATTGGAAGGGGGTGCTTTATTATGAAATACTTCCACCCAGCCAAATCGTTAATTCGGCTGAATACTGTGCCAGAGCTCAGCAATGACCAAAACAAAACCGACCGACATTGGTTAAACACAAGGAGATTTTTTCCATCAAGATCTTTGCCAGTAATTGTTCGAGCTTGATTGGGATGTCCTACTCAAATTCCTGACATTGCCCCTTCAAACATTCATTTATTCCTACCTATGTAAAATTCCTATGTAAAATGTATGTAAAACCTATGTAAAATTTAAAAAAAAATTGACTCGAGGAGGATTGCAAACCCGAGAAATTACAAAATTATATTAAAGATTGCAGCAGGAAGTAGAACAAAATGGTTTGTATGTTGATTATTCAATGCAACGAATTTATTTTACGTCCGATATTTTTTGCCTTAGTATAAAAAAAGTAGTGTTATAATTAATTAGTTAAGGTATTTTAGTTGAGATAAAAAAGTCAGTGTCACGAGGGGGATTCGAACCCACGATCTTCGGCTAAATACGCCGCTGCTCTATCACCTGAACTGACCGATCCACTAGGACACTAACCTCCCATCTCAACCCCACCTTTTGAATTTTCCCTCATTTTTGCCATTTTTCAACTGAACTTTCAACTGACTTTTTTATTTCAACTAAAAACCTTAATTAATTGAAAGATATTAATTGGTCAAGGTGACCACGAAAACTAGTGAATTTAAGAAGGTTATAATTAATGATCACAAGTATTGGGTTGTCCGGAAAATAATGCAGGATTTTGGTATTAAACAAAAAAAAAGAAACTAGTTACTTTAAAGCAATGTTCTTTAATCAAAATAATTTCCCATACTCTCAATACATTTCTCCCAACGTGTTGGTAACTTATTAATTCCGTCTGAGTAGAATTCAGAATTTTTAGAATTGATAAAGTCAATAAATGCATTTTCCAGTTCCGTTTGATTTTTGAATATTATGTGTTGTAAGTAGTGGTCCAGGTGTCTAAAAAAATGGTAGTCAGTAGGCGAGAGGTCCGGAGAGTAGGGTGGGTGAGGCAAAGTTTCATAGCCAAGCTCCAATAATTTTTGTGACGTTACACGTGACACATGTGGTCGAGCGTTGTCATGCAACAAAATGGGCCCTTTCCGATTGACCAAAGAGGGCTTCATTACTGCCAATTTCTGATGCATGGTATTAATTTGGTTACAGTATGATTCAGCATTGATGGTTTCGCCAGGATTTAAGAAGCTGTAGTGTATTAAACCAAATGAAGCCCACCATACCGTAACCATTACCTTTTTTTGATGAGTTGGGGGCTTTGGAAAATGTATTGGAGCTTCTCCTTTGTCGAGCCACTGTCCAGAACGTCTAGTGTTATCGTAGAGAATCCACTTTTCGTCACATGTAACAATTCTGGCCAGAAATGGGTCATTTTTGTTTCGACAAAGAAGTGATGCACAAACATCAAAGCGCTGATTTTTTTGGCGATCGTTTAATGAGTGTGGAACCCAATTTTCGAGTTTTTTCACTTTTCCAATCGCCTTGAGGTGGTCAGCGACGGTCGTTTTACTGACTTTGAGTTGCTCTGCACCCACCACTGATCGCAGAACATCATCATTAAGAGAGGAAGGCCTTCCACGACCTTCTTCATCTTCAAGGCTGAAATCTCCCTCCCGAAATTTTTTAAACCACCTTTGCACAGTGCACTCATTAACACAACCCTCGCCCCAGACTTGGTTAATGTTTCTAGCCGTTTGGGCTCCGCTTCGGCCGAGTTTAAACTCGTAAAAGAAAATCGTACGAAATTCTCGCTTTGACATTATAAGGATGACTGAATTATTTCCAAGTAGCGGAATGCTACAGAGGTAAACAAACAATATCATTTGGAAGAGGATTAATAAGTGTTGACATTCATACAAATGAGTAATCCTGTAAACGTAAACAGAATATTTTATATAGATTTTTTTTAATGAAAACTTAAAATCCTGCATTATTTTCCGGACAACCCAATACATAGGCTCCTCGTGTCAGTCAGATAAAATTAGGTTAAAAATTAATTAAGAGTTAAATAATTAAATATTGTAAGAAAAATGATGATTGATTTCACAACTTAACATTGAGATTAGGATAATAACCAATAAGTAACTGGGTTTTTTCAACAAATTTTATTGGAAATGAGAAGGTGGCACACAAACGATTAGCAGAGAAGACAATAAATGTGATTTTGCTTTACAACATATTCCGAAGTGCTGTTTGTTTTTCCTTTTTTCGTACAAGGGTAGCAGGAGATGCAGAAAATCAACTGAAAACACGCCACTGACATATTCCTTATATACATTTCAACATATGTATTTTCATACATAATATTCAACCTTCCTCAAATGATTTTTACCATTCCTGTGAAATTTATTGCAAAAATTTTCCTTAGAAAAATAACGATTATCCACATAAGATTTTTTTCTCTGAATAAAAGAAAAGGGATTAATGTGCTTTCTCTTTAATAACAAAATTTCGGTAGACAAATAAAAATAACACACTGTTAGTAAATTAATTATAGCATTGATAATGTCTATTTCATAACTAAATTTTCTTGAAAAACATACATTAAATAAATAAGAAACTAAATATTAGAGGAAGTATACAAGAATATGTTTACAAAAACATATACATTTCTTAAATATCTATATTACTAAGAAACAATACAATTTTATATCATACTTTATGTCGTTAAAAACTTAATTACTAATGTGAACATTTAAAAAGATAAAATAATGAGACAAATCATTAAATGGAACTAGAGTATTGTGTAAAAATTTTGGTGATTTTTATTACTGTTTACAATAATAAAATATTACAATTGGTGTTTGATCTTTTGCTTATATATTGTCTTATAATTAATATTTCACATAAAACCATCAGTGTCATATTTGATTGTATTATTTGCTTTAACTCGCCTGTAGGCCTGATCGAAAAGGTTTATCGCAACTTTAGGCCAGTGGAACTAAAATAAAAATGACCAAAAACATTTTTGAATGTCGTAACTAGTAATGACAGTTTTTCGTAAGAACATCACCAATTCCATTTGTTGAAATTATAACTATCAATATGGGTAGAAACAGTTAACTGTTTTTTTTTTGTTATTTAAAGCAGATCTGTGTGTGAATCAAACAAATACGTTTTCAACTAGGAACATGTTAAGTACTTTATTATTTGCGTTTAAATCATCATCATCCTTCCGAAAAAACGGAAGCCTGTTTTTTTTCTTTTTTAAAGGCTGCAAGATTTACACGAGTTAGTTTTATAAAAAATTACATTAATTTTCATTTTTTTAATTATATAATATATACAAAAAGCGTAATTAACAACTAGAGGTGAATTTTCAACGGGGTTGTGAGGGAGGGTTGTGAAAATGAACTTGTACTTGTGATTTGTACTGACGACATTTTAATTTTACTTTTACTGTTATTATATGTTTAATGCTTTATTCCGTGATTAATTGAATGTTTTGATGTTTCTGGCAATGCACTTTTGATAGCACATTTGTCAGAATAATTAATATATTTAATGGCAATTGTAACTATATAATTGTCATGTATGGAAAAAAGTGGGTGTGAACTTGTGTTTTATCTCTTTGGTTAATGAATTTAAAGCATTATACATAATTGAAAAATGCTAAATAGCAGGATTAAGAACAATAGAAAAACAAACAAAAAATGAATCTTTATTTTGATTATTAAAAGCGATTGCTAAATCTGTACAAAAATAATAGGTCAAATGTGGATTGTACGTGTAGTTTATATATAAATTATATATATTTTTATTGTAACCACAATCATGTAGTTTAATTTAAATTTAATCTTTTTATATATATTTTTTTATATACACTTGGTGACACCCAAGGCAACACTAACTATACACCTAGTACGATTTTCGTACGCATACATATGTGTTATGGCCCGTTTTTCGAACAATTTGGTTTGATTAAAAGTGTACATTAAGTAGCAAAGCATGCAAAATAAAGATCTCATCATTTATATTATTTACAATTATTTTAGTTTGTTCATATATTAGGCGGACAATAACATTGTTTATAACTTTTTATGATATGTGTTGTTTTGTTTTGCAAGTTTTTTTTTTTAAAGAGTAAGTGCTCGTTATTTTCTTGTTTAAAATGAAAGATTTTTTAACGCGACAAACAATCTAGGCAAGCCAAATCATAAATCGCAGAATTTTATCACAGCAAACAAAAGTTCTATATATGACAATAAAACTATGATATTGTCAAAACAGCTGTGATCTTCGACGTTTACCAAAGTTTTTCTTTAATGAAAACAAAAACTTTTATTTATTAGTTTTTAAAAATTAGATTGCCAATAAACTAGCTCGATATTGTCAAAAAGGGTAGGCAACCTTCAAAAGCAATTTATGGCAGCCTACTTCGGTTTAGAGAAATAACTAAGTGTGCAATTATTGACATATATTGTATATACATCGAGTGCATACAGATATTATTGTACAAAACGATATGTCTTCCTATATTTGACTAATGTGCATTCATAACACACTTACAACAATTGTTTGCGTCTTCTAAAAATAACTATTTGTGTGAAAAAACTCGAAGGAATCCGTTGTGTCCACAGCTTTTGCCATTCTCATGTCCTAACAAATGATCCATAACTCGTATAAAAATTCTGATTATCACAAATTTAAATTAAACCTTGACTAACCCTGTAATTGCTAAGTAAACGTTAAAAACAATAGATTTTTCGTTAAATAAAAATTACACGATACGTAAACTTCAAATAAAGCAAGTGCTGTGTAAATAAACCACGATTTTTAGAGTTTTTTCAACGCCATGGGCAAAAACATCAGGGGGCTCACATTAAATGTGTTATGAACACCATAAAAATCCATTTGCTCTGTTTAAATCTTAACCATCTGAGGAACCTATCAGCTAATTTTTGTTTCAAAATCTCTTTACATATAATTTATATTACACGCAAGGGGGGAGGGTAAGATATGTTCAATTTGTTCATATATATTTATCTTTTATCATTTTTTTTTGTTTTTGATTTATCTTTCATTCATCTCTTTGGTGGCCTTATGTACAAAATACGTTTATTAAACATAAACAGTTAAAGCCGCAAAAAATGCGACCGCAGCTGGAAGTAATTCTTTCGACAATGACAGGCTGTTGACACCGTTTGTGCATTCCTGTACTGGATTTGTTCTCGTCTCTGAAAAAAAAGAAAAAACATTCTAATAAGAATATTCATTTGTAAAGATTCAATATTTATTTTAATCTTGCAATTAATTAAGGTTTGTTAGTTGAGATAAAAAAGTCAGTGTCACGAGCAGGATTCGAACCCACGACCTTCGGCTTGATACGCCGCTTCTCTACCACTTGAGCTATCGTGACTTCGATCGACTCGGACACCAACTTCCCATCTCAACCCCACCTTTTGAATTTTCCCTCCTTTTTGCCATTTTTCAAATGTCGTGTAATCTATTTGATTCTCGGCGACAAATGAAATGGCCACGGAAAGCTTTAGTGAAGATTCATTTTACTTATTAACTTCACTAATTTTCGTGGTCCGCTTGATCAATTAATATCTTTAAATTTAACGATGAAAATAGATTATCGACCTGCTGGATACAAGAAGTTCTTTTCAGAGGATCTTCGGAAGAGGTGAAAACAGAGAAAACTTCCTTACGGTTTTCGCCGAGCTTTCGACAGTTTTATACTGTCATCTTCATGACTTGAATTAAGGTTTGAAAAAATGGCAAAAAGGAGGGAAAATTCAAAGTCGGATTCGAAGTCACGATAGCTCAAGTGGTAGAGCAGCGGCGTACCTAGCAGAAGATCGTGGGTTAACTAAAAAACCTTAATTAATTGAAAAATATTTATTGGTCAAGCGGACCACGAAAATTAGTGAATTTATTTTAATTTTTTATGTTAATTTATATTTATAGATTTTTATCATTAGGTACCTGTGGAAGCTATAAGCTGCGGTAAATACTTTTTCCAGAAAGCACATTGTTTAACTCTAGGGCCTCGCCCTGTGGTACTGCTGGACTGGTTGATTCCAAGCGTTAGGAACTCTCGCCCGTATGCAGTATGCTGAGGCCAGTACGTCGATGTCCAGGAATTGTTTCCTTTCAGGTTTGGATTCCTTAACAAAAAGAGAAACACAATGGAATATGAGAGACGTGTGATTTCTATTCGGATCAAATTTCAGAGGTTTGTTTGATTTGGCAAAGACAAAAGGGGTTGTGTGACACAAAAGAGAAACGAACATTGCAAGGTTATCGAGTTTCGTGTTAATTCAAAAATTAGATCGGATTTTGTTGACAACGTCGTGCTCAGCGACGTCACGGTTATTAGCATTTCACTGTGCGCTGTTAATTGCGGTCTAAATTTGAAGGGTCACTATTTATAATGCAATATTGTGCTTGCAAATTGAAATATAAATAATTTTCATTTAATAAACTTTGAATTATATCGGAGTTAGAAATTGTTTGTGAGTTTAACAAAATATGAATAGACGTTTGGACTTGTTAACTAAATACAATGAATTTTTTAGTAATTAGTATGAATGAATTAATAATTAATTAGTGGATTAAAGTAACTTGACAGTTATTTTAAAGGAAAATGATATATCGGGTATTTTGTCCTTTAATTGGCAAAGAGAATTTACGAGCAAAGTTGAATGAGGGCCATTGAAGGTTTTAAGGGAGGTTACCTCTTATAAGAGGAGCAAAGAATGCCCGTACTTAGCATATAAATTATGCCAATGACTTACTAGCGGTCATAGTCTACTTCTTCCTAAACTCATGAATATTTCATAAGAGGTTTGTATTACCCAGTTTTGGCGAAGTTGGCCCAGTAGTTCATCATTCGACGGCTCAATTCCGCCTCGGAGGGCAGGTAGTTTTTCGTTGGGTTGAGCGGCTCCCCGAAGACGTAGTTGATTTCGTCGCCGTGCATGACGCCGGTCCACGACGGCCACGGGTTCCCTATCGACCTGTGGGAGAAAAGGTACATGTACACGACGTTCCCGCTTTCCGCGTACGTGTGAGCGAACTCGTTGACGGTGCACGTGAACTGGTAGTCGCCGACCATTTTGTCCAGGGCGTCCCTGTTTTTGATTGGGTCTTCGGGGTTCTGCCAGTCTGTGTACTCGAAAATAATCGCCTGGCGAGCAATGTTGTTGACGTAAGGGTTGAGTTCCACGACCGCCCGCAAGAACTCTTCCCTGTTGATGTAAACGTTCTCTTCCTTCCTGAACAACTCGGTGAGGTAATAAATAATGAAGTAGTATCCTTCTTCCGTGTTGCTGCCCATCAGGATATTGGTCTTCTTGAAGTTTCTCGCGGCCAAATTTCGCTTTGGGTGATCGTCTACGAACGTTCCATCGACAATGGGAACGAAAGGGAATTCGCATATCCCTAGAGTCCCCCATTCGTTGGATACTAAATCGGTCGCGTTGGTGTTTCGAAGGCAGTCGATGACGGCGCGAAGTTCATGTTTAGAATGCGGACAGCCGACCGCTTCGGCGAGTCTCAGTCCTCGCAGCATGCTCTCCTCCCTCGAAATGATCGCCCACGGAGCCACAGCCGAGCCGGATTCCATGATCGCCTGGTTGAACAGTTTGTGACTAAGAGGCGACAAAAGATGGAGCGAGACGGAAACGGCACCGGCGCTTTCGCCGAACAGCGTCACCTTCTGAGGGTCGCCTCCGAACAGATGAATGTTGTCGTGCACCCATTGAAGTGCCATCCGTTGATCATAAAGACCGGCGTTCCCGGGTACGTCCGCCGTATCCAGGTACAGGAAGCCGAGGGACGCTACCCTGTACTGCATCGACACTAATATCACGTTTTCTTCCGATACGAGCGTCTTGTGGTCGTACACGTCCAACGTGGCCGAACCCGAATAAAACCCTCCTCCGAATATCCACACCATGACGGCTGCGTTGGTCGGGCGAGGTTTAGGAACTACAACGTTCAGATATAAACAATCTTCCGATAGCTGGGTGTTCGGATTCCATATGATCGCTCCTGGAAAATCGCCAAAGACAGTATCGATGATCTGCACGCAAGTGTTCGGCAGCCGGGTTGCGTTCAGGATGTGGTTCCATTTGTCCAACGGCCGTGGATGCCGAAATCTCAGTTTACCTAGAGCAAACAGGTTACGAAATAAATCAAGCTGGCATTTTTTTTTTCATTGCTGCATTAAAACAAAATTATTGCTCTGCACTGGTATCAACAAGGTATAATTGTAGTGACAATAAATAGCAAAACAGACGCCGTGTATGCGGCAATATTGATTAATGCCTGCTTTCCTAGGACCTTTGGCGGCATTAATAAATGTCATATCCAACACATGGAACGAGCAGAAATATCAAACAACAAAGAAGGACATTACCAAACATAATTATTGACATAATTCAAATCCTTGACAATATGCATAAAGCTATTGTATAAATATTGTTTTTATTCGACTATCCATTCAACTCAGTATTGAAACTTCATTGTTGCTTGCAATATATGTTAATTAAAAAGAGCTTGGTAATGGAATAAATGAAATACACTGTCGTTCGATCACCTTGAACTTTGAATTAAATTTCATGTCATTCACCTTAAAATTTTAACTCAGCAACTTTTTTGTTAGATTATACATATTAGATATTTATTATAGATAAAGTTTAGAAAGAAATAGAATTAATCAAATAATTAAGGGTACATATCAAAATACGTATTGCAAATATTTTTTTCTACCGTCACGGCCAGCAATGCACCAAAAGGACACATGTTAAGAGAAATCAGCCAAACAGGCACTCATGAGTGGTTAATGGGCGAGAGGGGTGATAAAGCAGTTAGACTTGAGTAGTTTTAGGATGGATCACGGGTTGGTTGTGGAACTTTTGAAAGCGGAATCGGTTCAGTGTGTTCACAAAAGAAATATTGAGGACGTTGTGGATAGTGAGGTTAGTTATGTAGTAACGAGCTTTCAAAATTTATCTGAAAAAGGATTAGATGCCCTGGATATTGGATGGATTGGAGGAACACCACAGCTTTATTCCGTGTATTATAAGAGTTTAAATTATTTTTTAAAAATTGTTCCTAAGACACACCCTTTAGTCCGAATGGTTGCTTATTCCGCATTAAGTCTTATGAGTACGTATTACTCAAATGATAGTCGACGATATCAGTCCCGTTCCCTCCCAACTGAAAAATTTGCCACCTATCGGCAGAATGAATATACGCGAGTGCGCACACTTTCCGACTACCAAATGACGTGAAATTAGGTTGCTATTTTGTTTAATGACATTTGTGACAAATTCTATCGACTACGATAGAAAGCACACGTCAAAAAATAGAGTAAAATGCTCAACACCGAATTTTCGAAAGTGTTCTGGTTGGTGGGTCCTCTCTCAATTGTTCATTCAGTGTAAGCTATTATTTTCCCAACACGTCAAGGATATGTGGACTTATGCCATCCAGCTCTGGGGCTCTTCAAAGTCTTCAAAACACTTAACCCACTGAGAAGTGAAGACCTCCACTGTTCCATTATTAGAATCACAAGGTTTTATAGATTCTGTTTCCTTCTTCTTCTCTTGGCTTTTGATCTTTTGAAGATATCTTCGGCAAAATGGTTTCCGACATTTATAACTACATTTGAACCTTTTGAACCAATTGGTGCGTCGTGCACATAACATTTCGATAACATTTTGCGGAATCCCTGGGCAAAAGCTGTCCACTGCAACTTTAACCTGCAACGCGTAGAAATCTTTTGATTACCTATATTATACCGTGTACGCACTATCAGCCAACAGTTTAGTTGGCTTGGCTGTAACCCAATTCATACCCATCTTCTGTTTGGGGCTTTCCACGTCAGTCTGGTGTATAAGTCCTTAGCGTCTGACGTAAATGGATGTCGGTGGGTCCTTGTTTTGATTTACAGTGGGAGGCAAGACTAGTCCTCCAGTTTTCGCACTTGTTTGGTAAGGTGAAGGTGTCTTTGATGTTGGAGATTGCTTGGATAGGTGTAGAGTTAGGACAAAATTGCGATATCATATGGGTAAGTAGTGACAATGGTACGGGATGAATAAAAAAGTCAGCAGCATAAATGGGGTGAAATCAAGAATATGCCCTTGTGGGGATGAAATTAAACTGTTTGATATGATTTTGGTAATAGCTATATAAAAATTAGAGGTGTTTGTATATCAAAAATAATATTAGTAGTAAATAATAATATAGTAAAAAATAATATAGTAATCAAAGGTAATACTCAGTATAAAAATTATATATTTGATTAATTTTCCATTTCTACACCAAAAATTACTAATAGTAAAGGGCGTTTACAATTTTGTTCAAGGCATTCTCGATTTTCAGAAAAAGGAGTGTGACATTATTTTTCAGGAACCATATGTAGGAAAGTCAGCAGTGTAAATGGTAAACAGGGTGGGACCAGGAATGCTCCCTTGTGGGGAAAAAATTAAACAGTTGGATATGATTTCGGTAATAGCCAGTATAGATATTTTACATTTAATTAATTTTTAATGGCCTCGCCAAAAATTACTAATACTAAAGGTCATTTACAATTTTGTTCTAGTCATTCTCGATTTTCAGATAGAGGAGTGTGACATTAAGAGAGTTTCAGGGACCATGTGTAGGAAAGTCAGCAGTGTAAATGATAAACAGGGTGGGACCAGGAATGCTCCCTTGTGGGGATAAAATTAAAAATTTGGATGTGAGTTCGGTAAAACCCAGTATAAAAATGATACATTTGATTAATTTTCAATTTGTACGTCAAAATCACTAATTTAAAGGACATGTACAATTTTATTCTAGTCATTCTCTATTTTCAGAAAAAGGAGTGTGACATTATATTTCAGGGACCACGAGGAAAGTCAGCAGAGTAAATGGTAAACAGGGAGGGACCAGGAATACTCCCTTGTTGGGATAAAATTAAAAAATTGGGTATGGTTTCGGTAACACCAAGTATAAAAATTACACATTTGATTAATTTTCCATTTGTACATCAAAATTACTAATACTGAAGGACATGTACAATTTTATTCTAGTCATTCTCGACTTTCAGAAAAAGAGTGGGACATTATGTTTCAGGGACCATGTGTAGGAAAGTCAGCGGTGTAAATGGTTAACAGGGTGGGACCAGGAATGCCCCCTTGTGAGGATAAAATTAAAAAGTTGGATATGATTTCGGTAATACCCAGTATAAAAATTATACACTTGGTTAATTTTTAATTTCTACGCCAAAAATTACTAATACTAAAGGCCGTTTACAATTTTGTTCTAGTCATTCTCGATTTTTAGAAAAAGGAGTGTGATATTATGTTTCAGGGACCGTGTGTAGGAAAGTCAGCGGTGTAAATGGTTAACAGGGTGGGACCAGGAATGCCCCCTTGTGAGGATAAAATTAAAAAGTTGGATATGATTTCGGTATTTACCTGTATAACGATTGATATCTGAATACCTAAAAACTGTTTTGGAATTTAGTTCAAGTTTATAGGGCTAAAATAACGGAGGATTTATCCTTGATGGAAAATAATGTCCTCCAGCTGAAACGAGCTCTAAGAGAGCTTTTCATCTCGTTTAACTTTGAAATTATTTTAGGTAAATGTGAAAGAAAGTAAATTTAAAGTTTGAGATGTCGTCTTGTATCAACATTAATTTTCATTTAATAGTTCTTTCCTTCCATTCTTCTTGGAGTGAAAAACGCTTAGAAATTATTTTATTGAAGGACTCAACAAGTAGAAGTATTCGGGCTGAGAAGTGATAAACAAATTTTTCGAGTATGGAAGGAAGTTGACCCTCCCCAGAAAATAATTCTCCCAGAGTGGAACAAGCTTTGAAAGAGGGGGGGAAATGAATTAAGAGGGAAAAAACTGTCCCGGCGGAAGGAAACAAAAAGGAGGATGGGGGCCCAAAACCAGGCGGGACACCCTTTTTCCAGCCGCATAATTGAGAGAGTTAGTTGTTGAGAAGCTGGTTTAAACTTTTTAAATAACTATCAGGTGTCTGGAGATTGGGCGAGTAGTTTTAAAAAGCGGTCCGCCCCCTTGGAAGAGAGTTAAACGGCTGTTTGCTAATCTCCGCAGTGAGCCGGATCACTTTTTCTCCCGTACCATTTCACCGTTTAATCCTTCTATTGCTACCCTACCAAATCCTCCTTCCATAGCGGATTGAACGGGACAATCTGGGTGATGGTTTTCGAAGGATTAGTCTATGAATAAATGGCAAATGAGGACTTAGGCTGCCATGAGGCTCGCGGTTAAACAAAAATAAATTGGCTAATAAATAATACTTATAACACCTAGGGGTTCATTTGTTTTAAATTGAATACTCCAACACCGCCATCGTTCATAAAAAACGTTTGATTTTAAAATAACTTTAAAATTTTGCGTTACTTTCGTCTCTTGTAATGCAATACATAACTATAAAAGAAAAATTGTATTCGCATATTTTTAAAAATAGATAAAACTATTGAATTTAATAAAATTGAGCAAAATAAAACAAATACCATGGTTAACATTTGTTATCTAACGTCCGTCTACTATCGCACTTTTTCAAAAATCACCATTGCCTGCTTGTAGTTTGCTCGTATAAAAAAATTTTTGATTTTGTAATAGTAAATAAATATCTTTGTGCACATCCAAGGTTACATATTAATTTAATATATTAAAGCACAGTGCACGAAAACCTATTTGATTCTGGAAAAACAGCGAGGATAGGCGGACAATCGATAGTTACACGGTTCCACCACCCACCGTAATCTGAGAGAGAACTCGTTCTTCTTACCGATCGGTTTTTGTGCATATGGGATCCCAAGCCAAGCGTCGACAAGTTTGCCAGTGGATGCTGCGATTGTTATTCCTCGGACGCGTCCTTTGTCAGTCTCGATTATAAGCGGGTCGTCGTCCAGGGGCGGCGATGCCCCCGCCCCGAGCACCACCGTAGCCACTAACAGCCACCTCATCACTCCTAAACAAAAAGCAAATTAAGAATTAATACGAAATACTGGTACAGTAATGGTACTGTGGGAGTACGGTGAGCTACAGCAAGGTTGGTCGTTTTCTATCATTTCGTCCTGCATATTCACTATTTTGTTGTAGCATTGGATTTGCGTATAGAAAAAGTGAAAATAGGCTAACCAAAATGACCGGAATTGATCAAGCTGTAGGTGTCATACTTCAGGAATCTTCTACCTTAAGAAGAAATCAAATAATTTAGGTAGCTTGTAATGATAGGGTTATGATTTAGATGTCGCCATGATGGGACAATGTATAATCCCTTGTTGAATACCAAATTGTACTGGTCTAATCACTGAGAATTCGTGGTCGAACATCACCTTCAGACATTGATCAGTTGCTGCCGCAATATGACCTGACCTAAACTGGCGTATCTACCAGCTGACATAGGGTGTTATGCTCGCGATCCCCCAAAAGTTTTCCGAAAAAGGGCCTCATCTAGTTTTGGCACCCGGGCCCCGTATTCTTACGCTTCTGCACTTTTTCACATTTGAAACAAGAACCGATATACAGTATGGTGCAGTATTAGTACATGCGTTATGCGGGGATGTCCTGGTGCATGTACGTTGCCAATCATGACTACGTTCTGTTTTGTCGTATGTTATATAACCATGTTTCGTGTTGGTTTTACGTTGTTGCAAGTCTGGACCCACCTTAAGTTTGTTGAAGAGTCCTCGGTTAAAAAATTATCGACCAAAGCCGGATGGATGAGTGGAAATGATATGAGAAGGAAAGACGGACCTTGAAGTTTTAAAAGTATTTCGAGAATTTTATATATCTCATGAAGTATGATCGAGTTGAACAAATAAACTGTCCTTACTCATTCGCCAAGGTTTCACGACGTTGGTTGGTCATCTCGTATCCAACACAAATAAAATTTCGAATGTTAGCACACCAGGGTCTTTTATATTCCGAGGGTTCTCGAGTTTATGTTCCATTCCGATGATTTGCAAATGCCACCATGCCTCTTGGCCGTACGAGCCCATGGACTAAGTTTTATGGCTTCCCTTGATACATCTCCGTCCGCCTCTTGCCGAGCCTTCATAGCCAGTAGATTATACAGGGATATTGTCTAACTTGGCTGGAGTTATGACTGGCAATCACTCTTAGGGTCTATCCCAGGAAGGAATCGGACCAGCGCCTAAGACCTCCAAACTTCCATATCCGCCCCACCAATGAACTTATAATAAAGCACAATTTATACGTCGACAAATTATTATCGACCTTGAGAAGATTTATCGACTCGATATTAGTTTCTGGGCTAATTCAATTAAACTTATTTCAATCAATTTTGCCTGTCTTAAGGAAACTTTATTCAATAAAGTCAGAGGTATCCTAATCAATGGAATTCTTCATTTCTTCCTCTCACTCACCCTAGCCCTCCTATCTTAAAGTCTGATGCATTTTCACTTTTTCTTAACATTCAATTTGAAACACGTAAAATGACAGTTTTTTGTTTGTATGTTGTGCTGCTCTCCATATTTTTATTATTTCTTTTTTCGAATGTTTCTATGTCTCCCTATATTTCTTATTATTTTCTTTCGCCCCCCTCACACTCTCTCTCACTCTCTCTCTGTCTTGCAAAAATATCTTCAACTACCAAATTCTCCTAATATAAAGAAAATCATGCATTCTGTCTACGTACATTTCAATTCACTAGTTTTGTGGTCCGCTTGAACAATTAATATCATACAATTAATTAAGGTTTTTAGTAACGTAATTTTAGTAAAGTAATAAAAAACACGACATTTGAAAAATGGCAAAAAGGAGGGAAAATTCAAAAGGTTTGGTTGAGATGGGAAGTTGGTGTCCGAGTGGATCGAGGTCACGACAGCTCAGTGGTAGAGCAGTGGCGTATCTTGCCGAAGATCGTGGGTTCGAATCCCGCTCGTGCCATTGACTTTTTTTATATCGACTAAAAACCTTAATTAATTGTAATATATTAATTGGTCAAGCGGACCTCGAAATTAGTGAATTTAATTAATTTAAATGAAGTATACTTCACTAAAGCTCTCCGTGGCCATTTCATTTGTCGCCGAGAATCCAATCCGATTACACGACATTTGAAAAATGGCAAGAAGGAGGGAAAATTGAAAAGGTGTGGTTGAGATGGGAAGTTGGTGTCCGAGTGGATCGAGGTCACGATAGCTCAAGTGGTAGAGCAGCGGCTTATCAAGCCGAAGATCGTGGGTTCGAATCCCGCTCGTGCCATTGACTTTTTTATCTCAACTAAAAACCTTAATTAATTGTAGTATATTTTAATATTTAATCGCTTTCTCGCCCTCCCTTTGTTCCTCTCGCTCTCTTTATCCCTCTCTCTTTTTCTTCCATTCTCTCTTCCTTCCTTTCTCTTTAGTTCACTCTCTCACACTCTCCCTCTCTCTCTTTTTTCAGTTCCCTCTACCTTTCTTTTGCCCTCACTCTCTCTCACACAAACTCACTCACCCTTTCTTTCTCTCTCTCTTTTCCTCTCACTCTCTCTTTTTCTTCCATTCTCTCTTCTTTCCGTTCTTTTTCCGTTCTCTTTCCTTTTCTCTCTCACACTCTCCCTCTCTCTCACACTCCCTCTCTCTCACACTCCCTCTCTCACACTCTCCCTCTCCCTCACACTCTCCCTCTCTCTCTCTCTCTCTCTATTTTCAGTTCCCTCTACTTTTCTTTTTCCCTCACTCTCTCTCACACAAACTCACTCACCCTTTCTCTCTCTCTCTCTCTTTTTTCCTCTCATTCTCTTTTTCTTCCATTCTCTCTTCCTTCCTTTCCCTTTCCTTCTCTCTCACACTCTCCCTCTCCCTCTATTTTCAGTTCCCTCCACCTTTCTTTTTCCCTCACTCTGTCACACACATACTCACTCACCCTTTCTCACTCACTCTCTTTCTCTCTCTCTCTCTCCCTATCTCGCTCTTTTCCTTTCCTCTTTCTTTCTATCTCTCTGTTTCCCTTTCGTTAATTTTTTACCACTCACCCTCTTACACCTTCTCTTTTTTTATCTCTCTTTCTCTTTTCTACATAATCCTCTTCCACCTAATTCTGCTACTACAAATGAAACAATAGTAATCATTCTGTCTAACAGTATTTCTTTTTATTTTCGCTCTCTCTCTCTTTCTCTCTTTCTCTCTCTCTCTCTATCTATCTATCTATTTATCTATCTATGTGTTTATCGATCTATCTCTCTTTTAATCCCTTCCTCCCTTTCTCTTTCCTATCTATCTATCTTTATGTCGTTGATGGATGTAAAAGTGATCAAATTCGACCGAATTCATCTGTCGTTCTGTCTATTGTAAAGGTGGGTTGGTAATTAGAATAATACATCGCTCCTGAAAGATTAACTACTGAATTCTTTCAATTTATTCCTCCAGCCCTTTCAATAAAAGTACGCCAAATTTTGCTGACTTTTATAATTTTTAAAAAAGGTTCTATACAATTATTATATCATATTGTAATATAATTAAACAATTATTTTTTTGACAAATAAATCATCATTACCGAATTGTTTTGCAAAACGCAATAATCTCCTGAAAGACGAGAAGTTCTTCTTATTATTATTTTGTTTTTTGCTTAAGAGGGCGAGGGAAAATAATAACAGCAATTGTTGTAACGAGTGGCCGATACTCCAATTATTTACAAGGGGTTGTGCCCGGGTCGCCCATTACCCCCGAGTATAGGGTGAACCACTTTTCCCGATTCGATACACACGCTTTCAGACCCTGTTGTCCTACAAATCCCGTCCCCGGATATAAAAGCCAATTCTACCTTTATTTCTTTCCTTCGTCACAGGCAATTCTGAAAGGGCCTGTTAACGGTTAAATTCGTGGCACTAAGGCCGAGTGTTATCAACTTGAAACTTTATAAAAAATTCTATCATTCAAGTTTGTATCTTTGTTTTTATTGACGTACGGCAGGTCAAATCTTAAACTGTTAAAATGTTTCATTTAGAAATGAACGCGATTGATATTTTTTGAAATATAAAGAATAAGTATATTCACTGGATTGCTTGAATCAAACTTCGTTTTAACTGGAAAATTTAGACTCTCCCTTTTTTGTTATATTATAAAATTGTTTAGGCAGTGAAATTTAATTTTTCTGTACATGTTATACATACCAGTCAATTCGTTTGACGTGCCACCCTTTTCCAAGCGGCAATCATCGACCGGCGCCAGCTCTTAAATAAAGGGTACGTCCTTTCAAAAGCCGCAACGTACACTTTAAACTAATTCCTGTCCGGGTCATAAAAGACCAAAAGACCCGTGTGACCTTAGGGTTGCGACGTCGAAATCATCTAAGGAAGGAAGAGGACCTTCATGGCTAAAGGGATTATAATTAGAGCGGATGTTTGGTGCAATGCAGCACTGCCCCTTCGCCCTGTTACTTTTTCTCCGGATCATATGCTCATCAACACGTTAAAACCCCCTTGAAATCTGCATGTAAAATCTCCGGGTCGGATGAGGGTCACGCAAGAGCGTTTTTCTTTTTAATTGGATAAAAGATGAACCGCAACATTGATAATCTGGAAGAGCATATTTCTGAAAAAGCGTGTCTGTTTTTAGACCTTAAAAACCGCTAATAATTACATTATTTCAATTCTCTTTGGAAAACTCTCTTTTTGAAAATTATCCTTTTAGATTCAACACCAATAAATTATATATTTTTTAGGTTGTAAAATTTAAATAATTTTTTTAAATGTTCTTGTTTTTATGTCTTTCAAAATAACCTTTTTTCTGAATCAAACAATGAGTATCAAACAAGACAAAACGTAATTACTAATATCTGTATATCCAAATTGAACACTAAATTTTAATGTCTCTGTTGTTTTTTTTGTTTTTTTTTGTGATTTTCAGTCAAAAAGTAACACCACTCGATTCACTTACATTTATTTCACCGACGTTTCGGAAGGTGTACCTCCTTTCTCAAGGTATACAAGAGAAACGCCTACAACGTACAAATACATTTAGT